CTCAGTTCATCCGATACAAATGGGATACAGAATGGTAGCTTGGCCTGCTCTGCTTCCTGCCTATCTTCTGTCCTAGTTTGTCTTCTGTGCCATGGCCGTCCACAGCGAACATAGCCGTTCTCCTCTGCTATGCGGTAGGCCAGTGTCATCGACTCTGTTCTGCACGCGCCTTCTGACGAGACTGCAGAGGCCGTACGATACATGTTCTTGACAATGGCCCTCTTGGTAGCAGAGGGATGGGCCGAGCTGGAATGAACAATTATATTTTTACTGCTAGGCTTTCGATACCACTTCGTTCTATGAACTCCCCGAGAAATGTACTTGTACGTTGAGGAAGGCAAGCCAATCCTCTGTCGGCTTCTCGCGCGTGAACTTTATGTGCTCCGCCTGCTCGTTTAGCAGGTGAGGCTGGAGTGCGGTACAATTGTAACGCTACGTAGCGCTACAAGTCTGAACGCTGCCTAAATCGTTTTGACATTATGGCAATGACTGGGTGACAATAAGAGCTAATGCGGAGAGAATCAGAAGGTTATAATTTAGGTTCATGTAGTAAGAGACGCCGTCAGTCAGGAGCTCGGTGCAAAAAATGACGTCCCCGGCTGCGTATCTCTTCGCTGACTGTTACTGCTCATTCATAAGTCTCTGGTCTATTTCATCAGAAGCTGGGCAGCGGTCGCTTTACTGGCAGCTACGGACTTGTATACCTCTGTTTGCACCTTTTCTCAAGAGATAATACAATTCTATTCCACGAATCACTGAACAGATACGCAGCATGTCCGTTTGGAGGATGGAACTTTCGCCTAGTAGGGAAGCGTTTACTATAATCATATCATCACAGCAAATTGATATGGAAGCCTTAGTGCTTTCCTAGTCTTGCGACAAGTTTTTTTTTCATATCTCGCCCAAAATTCACATAGTGGAGCGATGGTAAAAAAAGTTGGCAGAAATTTTCAGCAGCGACACAACTCGTGACGTAAAGTTGCACGGTGGTACAATAATCAAATGTAGTGGCTAAAATGTAGTTGGTGTTGATGGAGAACGTAAAAATAATTTGTTTGTTGCAGGAGTACTTGCTCCATCTTTTTGATTACAGATGTAACGAACTCATGGAATAAACTGGAATACACTTCCTTATTTCCCGTCCATGTTTCACATGGTAACTTACACGATGCTCTTGAAGCTCATCAGTTTCTGAATGATTCAGGGAATGAGGTGTGTGTATATTTTCATTGTACGTTTTTCTTGTGCTGTCAGTTTAATGTGGGTTGAATTCTAGTCGTGGGTTGAATGTCTTAGTTTTCACTGCGATTCTTTCCCGAAAATTCCTTTCTGTTGTTTAGGCTAATGTGATATTCTTGTAGCCATCCGCGCTCTCGAGATTCTTTACCCGCCGTCTTGATTTTCTCATTGGGTCGTTACTTCTTCAATGGTACAAAAGGCGAAACAGAAAAACTCAACATGCGTTTTCACTTTCCTCGTACAATCTTTATGGATCGGTACATGGCCAGGTGAGGAAATCCTTACACTGAAATAAAATTGGAGTTGGAACGTAAAGCGTACAAAGAAAACAGAGTGGAAGTAGGGTACAGCATCGTGATTTGTGAAATGGTGGTGTCAGCACGACGCTCCCCCACCCTCGAAAAAAGGTCTCGGTACGACCCTCCCCTTACCAACACCTACCTACCACTTTCCTACAATTTCCCAGTTTCCTACCAGTTCCCCACCCAAAGTTTTCCCTCAAGCGGGGGGAGAAAGGGTTTAGTCGATGTGAAACGCGAAAAAGTAACAACCGGGAAATTTCTTTTTCCGAGACGCGAACACAGTCGCAGACGAGAATCGATGGCGCTGACTGCTTATATTTCGAGAAAGTATAGGATGGCAGGAAGGCAGGCTATGCCCTTACACAATCTTACCCTCTCCCGTTTCCATACTCATTAAAGCATCAGGTCATTGCCAGTCGATACCACGACTGGTCGCGCACGGCCGCGTTCGCATCTGTACGACTGGAGTGCTGTTACAACTGTAACGCATTGATGCGCGTTGCAGTGCGTCGACGCCTTGTCGCGAAGCTTGACCACTGCCTAAAACTACGAAGATTTTATCGTCTCCGTGAAAATCCCTCTTCCATTCCACTTTCGGAGCCGTACGTGTTTACTGGTTGTACGTTTGAATCTTATTTTTTGCAGTAACTACGACTATGTCAGCAAAATAAGGGAGACAAGAAACCAGCTTCGAAACGAATTGTCCAATGTTCGTGCCGAACTCAAAGGGTAAGCTTCACAACGATTGGCTTTAGAGAAAGAAATGTCGTATTTATAGCTTGGATGAATTCCCAATAGGCGACCGTACTGAGAAGCTTGTTAGTATTCTCAATGCTGCGCTCATGTTTGCTAAAGGAGGCCAAGCAAAAACGTAGGTCCTTTTTACATGCTGTCTCTGGCCTTGTTTATTTTCGACTGTTTTAGCGTACCTAGTGAGAAAATGGACGAAGGTGCGGCTGTCATAGCATTGCCAGGACCAGTGAACGCGAACAAGACGCAATCATTCGTCGAGGAAAAAGTTGCAGGTAAGGAACATTGGTGTTGACGAACTATTTTGAAGCAGTCTCATTCATATTCAGTAACCCCTACTGCGGCGAACTCGGAGCAGCTTGCTACGTTTGTGCCAGAGCTGGAGAAGGCAATAAAAGGTCTAGAAGAAAAGCATAAACGTAAGCGTTTTCCAAATTCTGTTTCCTTTCAACCTCGGCATATTAATAACTTTGATATGCGTTAGTCCTACTGCAAAGAGTTCCAGTGTACCTTACAAGGTTGATTGGTGGAACTTTTATTGTTGAAAGGCCAAACATTTCGACTGGTTGGTCGTCTTCAGAGGTCAGGTGTTCATTCAAAAACAGTCCCGCGCTAGCAATTCGTTGGCATCCTTTCTTGTACAAAGTAGTCTGGTCCTCAATCTCTACGATTATCCTACTTTCGCAGCTTCACAATAAGTAGCGAAGGTGGCAGTGCTGACGCCCCACTAGTTGTCCTGCCCACCAAAACAAGAGCTATTTCTTGGCACGAATCAACTTTTTACACAGTGTTTTTCGTTTTTTCCCCACTGTTAGGTGGTATTAGCACTGATGCAAAGAAGAGTTCTTGTGCAGAGGGAGGCGGAAGATGTCGCTTTGGTGCCGTGAAACAAGCAGATTCGGAGAACTAGTCCACAAGCTGCGAGGATAAGCTCCCTACTTGGGATGTTTGGGTTTTTTTCCTGCTATTTTTCTTCTTGGAGAGTCATTCAGCGACCTTAGGTTTTAATTGAGGCGACTGTCCATAATATACAATCACGGGGTTTTTCTGTTCTCCGCAAAGCATCTCATCTTTTTCACTTCCGACCTCTTTTTAGGTGCATGAAATGATAATCCAAGCTCTTTTATTTTGATAGCTGCTTTAACTGCCGCAGTTTGCGCTCCGCAAGTTCACGAGAAACTGACCGTGGGTTAAGGACAAAATTCTTGACCCATTGTGAGACTTGTACCCGCAGCTCAGACGATTGCGCGCCCCGTTCCGCCGCTAAAGCCACCTTTTACTTTTTCAGCTTGACTGTTTTGATGCGGTAGCCTTACAGCACTCACACATTTTCTATGGTAAGCCGGTGAGCTGGTCAGAAATTCAAGAACTCTGGAATCAACTCACCATTGTTGCATCTTTTGGACGGAAGAGCTATCGGTTAACACCCCCTAATCTTACTAAGTGACTCCTGTACGTGCTGTATCATCTCCTGATAATAGTTGAACGTAAAAACTGGTAATG